GTAGACTTTTTTAAACATTTGTGCTCCTTCTTCTTCAAATCGGTGAAATAGCTAGCCGGTATCAGTTACACACTTCGCTTCCTAGTCGAAGTGAATTGCACATTCGCCAGAAGTTTCAATGAACATCCAAACAGCTTAAGTCTGCGTACCTTGATTTGCAATACTTTCATAGAAGGTCATCCAAATTTCCTGCAGAACATCTTTCTTTGTTGTTGGAATGACTTACTCCCGTTTTTATCGCCATAATTCCTGTACAGTATTTTGGTCAGCAGCTTTCATTTAAGCGTAAACACCGTGGTGTTGTACCAGTTCACGGTCCCTGGTCACGTATATCGAAAACTTCGCATCAAAAATTGAAGCGTGAAGTCTCTCGGATGGAAAAAAGGTTCAAGATTGCGATTATGTTTTCGGGTCGTCGACGACGTTCCAGAGAAGAAAGGAATGGATTTGTGAAAGCAGATGTCATCAAGTAAGTGTTCGTTTACAGATGACTTGCGGGATTTTTTTGCCCTTAAACCCTTCCACGACTACAGTTTATGCTCGGTCTGCATTTTACCCCAGTCTGCGTTTTACTCTTAGTCTGCAGTCTGCATTTTACATTCAGTCTGCATTTTACCCCTGGTCCGCAGTCTGCAGTCTGCAGTCTGCAGTCTGCGTTTTACACTGACCGTATATTTATTATTCAACTCGAGGGGTACAAAACTGTGGACCCCTTCTTATAACGAGAATACGTGACATACCAACGTGACTTTTTTCTCGCGCTTTGTCCAAGGTTGTACGAAACTTATCAGACGGGTTTACTTAATAAATCAAATATTTTCGAGTTTTCGTCGGCACTTCCAGGTTGTATTTTTCAATGAGGTCTTCATTCGTTTGCAAGTTGAAACGGTGATAGGATGAGACTGAGATGGTCTTTCTCTTTTTGCGTACAACCGACCGTTAGCAGAAAATCTGAGCAGAGCAAATTGCGCTGGAATGACGAAAATCAAGTGGTTAGAACGTAAACAACTGACTTATAAACTCATCTTCGCCGGGATTAACAATAACAAAACGTCTGTGGAGAACGTCTAGTAGGCTCGATTTCCGCCGTCTCCCGGGTCCGGTGTTTGATCCTCCCCGAAGAGAGACGGCTGGACGCGTGACCCGATGACCTTGTCTGTGACGCACCAACAAAAGCAATCGCACACGTCCAACTGCTCCTTCGGGGGGGAGGGGGGGTTGAGTGCGGGCTCATTTTCCCGAACAGCGGCTGGTAATCGAGGCTAAACGTCTAGAGTCTACTATGTCGTGTTTCCTCACATAAAACTAGAACTAAACGGGAAGAATGTTCAGTTCGTCGGCGGGGATTTTATTTAGTGAATGTTGTTTGTTTCACGGATCGTCTTCATCACCATCTCTGTCTACTATGCACAATCAGGTCTGTTTACATCTTCTCTGTTGTAAGTTTGCATGTTGTGACTAATTGTAATACATGTCGATCATTGTTGTTCAGGCGACTTTACTCTGCGAGAAACTTTGTTTTATTTTGGCTACTATTCCTCGTTTTCCTCGTGAAACGATGCATTTTCTGTCATGTGCGACGTTTATAGGAAACCGGTCAAACCGGCTTCCGGAGAACAAATATCGTGAGATATTAAATTAATAATACTAGTGTTGGGTATTTGAATTCTGCCGAGTGAAGTTGAATAATTGCCCTATACTGTGCGTCATAGAGTGGTTTACTGTGCTGTAAGACTTCGCCGTCGTGGTTTTGTAAGCTCTGTAAATGACTGGAAGAAATTGACTCCAAGAAATGACTTTGTCGGAAAATAAGTCATCTTCTATATATACCAACCATCGAAAAATGAAAACTCAGATTCAATTCTTATTCAAATGGTCAAGGGAAATACTAAATAATCATTCCGACAAACTTCGTGAAAAGGCGCGTAAACGAGTAATCACGCATCTTGTGTCCTGACCCTTCATCTTTTTGTAAAAAATAAGAAAGTGAGAACTGATGAGGGATTTTCCTTGAGAGTCAGGGTAGGGAGAGGAGAGGTTGAAAAAGATCTCCATGGGTTCCCGCTGTCTTATTACGACAAGAGAACTACTTTCAACCTTCGTAAACACATTTACTTCAAACGCTTTTCAGTGGCAATAGTGCGATGTAGCTACACAAGGGTGTGGTGGTCACACTCTCGAAGGGTTCATTTGTTAACATAAACGTAACGTCATATTAAGAGAATCTTTCCGTTCAATACTAATAACTTGTTACAACAGCAGAAATTCAACAAAGACCTGAACTGAAGTTTAAACCTCATAAAGCGTCGCAAACATTGCTTTTGCCCTTTAACTGTTCAGTAAAATGTCTTTAAAAGGAAATTCCACACTCTTTTCGTAGCTGACTAAGAGCTGGTTATTAAAATTAAGAGGATCTTTCATTTGAATACTAATAACTTGTTACAACAGCAGAAATTCAACAAAGACCTGAACTGAAGTTTAACTCTCATAAAGCGTCGCAAACGTGGCTTTTGACCTTTAACTGTTCAGTAAAATGTCTTTAAAAGGAAATTCCACACTCTTTTCGTAGCTGACTAAGAGCTGACTAAATTACGAGGATCTTTCATTTGAATACTAATAACTTGTTACAACAGCAGAAACTCAACGAAGACGTGAACTGAAGTTTAACCCTCATAAAGCGTCGCAAACGTGGCTTTTGACCTTTAACTGTTCAGTACAATGTCTTTAAAAGGAAAGTCCAAACTCTTTTCGTAGCTGACTAACATGAACCGTTGTAAGGGAAGAGAGGAACTCTTCGGAAATTGAAATGTCTCCAGAGGTGAAGTTCCCATTTTTTTTCTAGATACATGCTTTTTTCATGTGGTAGTAGACATTCTGTGGAGTAATGGAGTATGTCAGTTCCCCTGACGGCTTCTTGTACATTCTTAATTCTTTCCGATAGAATACTACATCGAAAGGTGCAGGCGGGACGAAATCTCTTCCTGTTTCGTCGGAAGGCTTTGGACGCATGCGTTGCCCGCAGCCATAACAGACATAAATGGAGGTGCCTTTCAAACTCTTCAACTGGTATTTTTCTTGCCTGTCAACGTTGACTACCTTATCATCATCATCATCATCATTAGTAACAAAGGCACGGCGTGTGAACTCCTTCGTACACCGCTGATGCAAAGGGCTGTGTCTTGGCCGTTTGTCGCACCTTCCACGGGACCCTGGTTTCCGACCTGCGGACTTAGGCATTCCCATTGTTGCCGCCACGGTGAGATTGCCTGAAGACGATGAATTTGTTTTGTCCACCACAGGATTCTCTGAATCGTCGTCTTCTTCAGTTGGCTCTTCATCCTGCACCTCTGAAGGCGGGACGTGCTGTGAAGTGGTACAAGTGTTACTTGATCTACATAAGGCGCTTCCAGTAGAAGCCGAACGAAACAAAGAAACTTTTTTTTCTTTCTGTTGGGAAGAAAGCGACAACCACTTCTCTGGCGTGATTTTCATGTGAGCAAATCCAGCGCTCAGCTGGTAGGGCCCTTCGTTAATCAATGCTCTTTCTCCGTTGCGTGCTTGCTCTTCCGCGAGGCTTTGTAACAGATCAACGCACTCAGTCCACGACAGTTTCCGGGAACCCTTTCCTTTTCGCTTCTTGATTCTGTCATTCATGGATTCGGGGTCGTTATTGTAAAAAAAGTTCTCACCCAAACCAATCCTCTCTCGCACGGGCTTGATCATTGTCGTCTTCATGTCTGAGGCTACGTTGGTTAGAAAGTACGAGTAAAACTCTGTTGTCGCTTCCTTTGAAAGACCCCTGGCCTCCATTTCTCGTTTTATCCAGACTGGATACAGCGATTCCAAGCAAACATCAAACTCTTCACAACTGCATGCACCAATAAGGCCTGTTTCTTCTCGTGCATCACTTCCAAAGATATCCAGCAGAAACTCCTTCCTCTCTGACTCTCCAATGCGCAATTCAAGTAGCTTTCGTGTGACGTCATCTTCTACGTGTTTTTTACAAGATAGCCAAGTGGCTATTGGAAAACATGGCTTTATACCTTTCCTCAGTGCTGCATCCCTGTCGGATCCTATTGCTACTATGTTTGATAATTCGTTATCAATGGACACCAGAGATGATGCCAAGAAATTATATGACTCCTGTTTTCGCTTCATGTGCAGCATACAGGGACCAAGCATTGTGGGATGACCGCCATATTTTACATCAGTTAGCATCAGATGCCTGTAAGTTGTTGCAGTGACGTAGTAATCGCCGATGTTGAATGTGGTGTCCACACAGAAGACTGAAGGAGTAAGTGTATTGGTCGTACAGAATCGATCGTTTAAGATCCTTTATCTGCTGCTCTGTCGCCAGAATACAAGCTGGCTCCGGGGTTACTTGTATTCTTCTAATATAGGGCTCAGATTCTAGTTTAGACTTCTCAACGAGATCGCACAGTTCGTCTTTGGATCGACGAGGCACAGCTTTTGAATTGAACTTCACATTCTCTACTTGTTTTCGCCCTTTTGGGATGTCTCCAAGAGACTCAAAGCCAAGAACGCCATTTGCTTCTTCAAATACTTCGTCGTAGACCTGGGATGGACCTTTGCACAAGCTCTTAGCCTTTATTTTCTGTAGAGTACTGGCCTTGGTTCTTGCAAATGGCTTGCTGGATTCTGCATTGCCGTGCGGTTTCTTTCTTACAGGGTGCTCCTCCTCGTCGAACTCGTACTGCAGTAAAATGTACCTTCCTCTTTTTCCCTGGCCACTCCACAACTCATAGCTTCGACGCTTGAAGTCTTTATGGATACTGTGGGTCCAGTAGGTCTTCCTAAGTTGAACTATAGCCTGGGCACTTCTGGGTGGGCGTGACTTTGAAATAAAGCAGACTTCTTCGGAGGTCTCAAAGAACCCTATACTGACACAGCCCACGTTATGGAAAGATCCCAGGTCATCAGATTTCCAATCAGTAGGACGCTTAAGAGATCTGGTATCAATTAAAAATGATGCATTTTTCTCGCACTTTAATGGTCCTTTTTTGCAGACAATATCTGACGGTGGACTCATCAAGACTGAGACTATTTCTTCAGTACCTTCACAGTCCTTCCAGTTGAAAATTGGTAACTGAGGGTCATCCTTGAAGTACCGCTCCTCTTGACTCTGATTATCATCGGTCTCTGATTCCAGTACATACTCACTGACACCTAATCCAAGCGTGCCAACAGAGTCCTCAGACCCGACTGTATCGTCAAAACTGTCTGATTCCACTGAAGTCACGTCAGAGTCCTCTATTACAACAACATCGGAAGAGCTGCCAGTCTCGCCTTGAGTCTTATCCTTTCAGGAAAGAGATAAAAAGACGTCACCAAAACGCTAGCTTTGATTACTTATACGAAGGCTCAGTTCCAGAGCTGAGATAACCCTTCCTTTTTTAACGCAATTCAGCACATATGAAGTTTAAATTGTACGCTATTAATATCTTATCCGTTTTTACAGTTTCTCCGGAAAGAAAATTGTCCACCGTGGGAATTCGTAAAAGAACGGTCGTTTACGAGAATGGGTTCTAGCAAGGGACAATGGTATTTCACCGTGGTCAGATCTCTGAGTCTTTTTTCCTTCTGATCATTCGATTCTGTGAGGTCTCATTTATCATTCCCATTATGTTTATATCATATTTTGCACACAATTCATGTGAGTAACTATTACCTGCATTATAGCTAAGAGTATATCCATATGAAATATATTTTCTTCTTCTTCTTTTTTTCCATTAACAGGAAACATGGACAAAAGTAAATTTGGGCACAGTATGTTAGCATTTTTCGCTGAAAATATTTCCCGTGATGTTTCTTCTCCTTCATTCTTTCTCATAGCATGCCTACTTCAAACTATGACAATCAGGTGTGCCGTGGTTGCTCAAGAGAGCTTTACATTACAGAGTTTAAGTCACAGTTAAAACAGGGTTTCACAATGCTGGTAGCATTTAGAGCTGGCCGCTAAGGAGGGAGACAGGAGAGGCATCAGTATTCAGTAGTCGTTTTCCTCGAGAGAGTAAACCTAAACCATGTATATTTGTAAGCATGCAGCTCACTACAAGAACCACGCGAACTGCGAAGGCTAAAAGTTAAGATTATTTTGCTTACCGTATGTAATTCCAGGTCATCAGTTTCTCTGGAAAACAATTCTCTTGCAGCAGCAAGTCTGTAAAATAAATGCAAAAATCAATATAAAATGAATGAACGAAATGAGTGGTGCTAATTTCTGAAATTCGTAAAGTAATTTACTTTTCTACCTTCCGGGTGTCAAGTGGCAAATGACACTCAGAAAATAGGACAAGGGGAAAGACATTGCTTAAAAAATGAAGGACAAAATAGGAACTTTGACTACAAAACAGAAAAAAAATAGGAGAAAATAGGAAACAAGCCAAAAGAAGGCGGAATTACTTTGCGGAATGGCATGTGGCATGGCTCGCGGAATGACATAGTTATGCGGAATATGATATTATGAAATGGCGCAAAGAAATAAATTAATCAGAAAAGCATACGCGCGTCTCTACCGCTCTTTTTTTGGCAGTCGATGGCACAGAGTGTTAAGGAGCAACCGTTTTGCCAGTGCGTTTATTACTGGTGGCTTAGAAAACAAGGCAGAGCAGCACATTGGAGTTCAGGAGGATTATGGAGGAAATCACTTCTAGTAGTGGTAAGCTTTACGAGGCTGCTTGGAAATGGTAGACTCGGTAGACCCAAATGAAATAAAGAAATTAGCCTCGTAAATACCTGCAGACGTACTGTGTCGCAAATCTGTCTGTTATTTTAGTTTGGGGTGTATAACCTGTACTTCACGAAACTCAAATCAAGGGTCACTCTTTATAGTAAAGTTGGACATATTTCATCTCTGAATATTATGTCGCAACCCACCTTCTTAAAAAGAAGGACTTGACACCCTATACCATACCGACCGAGAACAACAACAACAAAAAACATTAGAAAATGCGTTAATTTAATACTTTCAAGCTCAGTGAGGGAAAAGGCTTTCATGGCATTGTGACATATTGTCTCCCTGTCAGCTATCGTTTGAGTCCCGGCTAAGTAATGTATCTCCTCCAGATTTTCCACGCTCTATTTCCTTCTGTAGGCCCCTGCTCTCGAACTCCGCTAGGTTGTTCTAAATGCGCTTGACTCCACATTATGCGTGCGAGAACGCGCACGAAGCGCCAGCGAAAAAAAAAAAGAGATATATTTTCTATATTTTCTCATTTACCTACCCATAACCATCGCGCTAGCCGTCAATCTATCACGGTTTTTATTTTCTTACGCGCGCTCCACGATATCTATAGTGAACAGGGTAGGTGTATGAAAGTGTATCCAGCGAATTTATTGGTCCATGACATGAAGTCCTGCCATTAAGGGGAGCTGCGAGAAGTCATCCAAGAGCCGCACGCGAAAAGAGGCGCGTGTGCAAGGAAAAAGAAAAGTTAGGTTATTCCGCTTCGTCTTGGCGAAGCCGAAATGAAAATTTATAAGAGATCGCGGCAAGCTCTTCTTTTTCCTCCGCATCTCGCGGCTTCGCCCCTCTCGCGCGCGTTCTCTCGCAGCACGTTTTACTTCCACCAATGCTGGTAACACGTGTTTTCTTCCTTTTTCTCTCTTTGGTTGTATCGTCCAATCAGAAATTAGTGTTCTCACGGGGAAAGCTTCCAAAAATACGGTATCCATGTTTTGTCTTTATCTCTAGTTTCCATCAATCAATACGCGAGCGTAAGTTCTAATTTTATTTATGTAATCCGAGCTAGCAAAACTAAAGTACAACAAAATAAAACGATACGCACCAAAAGAGCGAAAAATGAATGCACAGCATTTGTAGAATTTAATATTTGAACATGTTAAACTGAAACTAACTAACAGATGGAGGCGACGTTTGATGGTGAAATTTGAGTCATTGTGGTCAAACTGTACGTAGCACAGTTTTTCAGAAAGTATTAGGCAGGCTAAAGCTTCGCCCTATCACACTGAACCTCTTTATAGAATGAGCTTGCGGAACTGCGCTTTCTCGGTATATCAACAACATAACCATAGCATTCCATTTAACGCTTCTACGAGACGATTGATGAGAGACTAATTTATACGGGAAGTGATTGACAGACGAGAATTTAACACCAGAGATATTGCTGAATTTCATTCACATCAACAAACAATCTTTCTCTAACCTATACCTAAGTTAAAGTAGCAGCCTACCGAGTACTTTCAATCGCTGTCCTCTCATCACCGTGACGCGATCTACCAAAGGCAAATGAAAGTTTTAAATGTAAAGGATGAACCTTAAATAAAACTGAAGACAACCCACAAATGACACCTTGGAAAAACGATGTATTTCAGTTACTTAAACAACGTCTCTGTCGATTTAAACAAAAAGTGTCTCCCTTACCTCTTTCGAAACGGACTTGATGCGTCCGGACTGTCAGCCATCTTTATTATCTTTGCCGTCACATGGGAATTTGCATTTTTAATCGCATCGATTCCAGTCCTCTTGTCATAAAGAGTAGTCTCCCTTGACCAGGAAATCTATAGTCTTATCTTTTCTGTCTTATTTATTATTATTACTATTATTATCATTATCATCATCATCATCATCATCATCATCATCATCATCATCATCATCATCATCATCATCATCATTATTATTATTATCATTATTATTATTATTATTATTATTATTATTTTAAATCCCTCTTTCCCAGATTCCGTTTCCGTTTCCGTTTCCGTTTCCGGATTCCGGATTCCGGATTCCGGATTCCGTGTTTTAGTGCTGCCCTCGATAAGCGGAAATTCTTACACAATCGATTGTTTGTCAAACAAACTGTTCCCGAAGACTAAGCCGGAACTCTGTCTATTCATCTATTGTTGTAACACTTTGATGGTTTTGTATCAGTAAATGTATTTTTTAACCGAAACAAAGGTGTAGTCTGGTTGTAGCACGCGCGTATTAATCCCACCATTGTTTATATATAATTGAGTTGATTCCCGTGGATACTTTATGCGACAAGCGTTCATGTTGGCTCAGTGTATATTAAATTAGTTTGCGATGAATAATAAAATACAGTTCGCTTGCGTTCGGTTTGTTTCGTATGATACAGGTCTAAAAGGAAAAAGGCCAACCTGTTAATGGTTAACGCTCGATACCACAGTCTAGAAACGTTTGAAGGTTGAATTATACTGACAAAACAGAGTCAATGGTTTTGTAGAATAAAAATATTTATCTTTGGTCACATTTAATAGTTTTAAGTCGAGTACTGTTTTCGGACCGTTGACTAGTATGTTTGGAAGCTATCAAGTCAAAAATATTATTTACTGGAGTTTGTGACAATAATAAAATGCTGAACGGAGAGCGCGCTTTTATTTGGAAGATAGAATAGATTCTACAATCAGGGTTAAAAGAGCCCGGGCAAGTCTAGGCAAGCCTATTGTTCCTATTGAAGTATTCAAAACAACTATGACATCATAGTACCCCGGAATACATATGACATCATCTTCCGAAAATAACTAAAACCTGTCAAACCGGTTATACCAACCATGACATCATCAATCTAAAAATAGCACATGACCTTATCTTTATGAGATACCACAGCATTTTATTCATGAGATCAATACAATAGCCTATGACGTCAGCGACGTTAATTTATTCCCCCCCACCTTAATGAGATTCCCCCCCAAAAAAGAGGTTAATTTCATCCCTCCTATACTACTAATGTCCTTGGAAAATCTACGTAAAATTTGCTTGAAATTGTCTTTACTTATCGTCTCATTTATATTAATTAATCTATTAAGAAATGTCCAAATTGTTGGTCCTCTATATTGAATAGATTGTTTGCCAATTTCATATTTGACACGTAGAATAACAAATTGGCTTCCCCTTAACTTCGTGAAGGTCTACTGCCAGACTTTAAAGTAAATAAAGATGCAAGGTTGTCAGGAACATTATGTTTGATAACATCAAACATGAACAGCAGTAAGCGTCTATTATAGAAGTATGACAAGGGAAGCCAGTTGAGACTTTGAAGATCATCTTGATCG